GCGACGCTGAAAGGGGCGTTTGACGAAATGGCGGAAGCGTACGAGCCTCCGGACGATGCACACCGCAAATTCGTCCAGAGGCAACGGGTACCCGAGGAATCGCCTGTGGCTTTCCGGGGTGCTGTGCTTGAGCTGGCCATGGCCGCGTATCCAGAGATGGAGCCCGACTTGTTGGAGCCCTTGATACTGGGTAAGATGTTGGAGCTGTCCAAGGACTTGGGCATTCCGCTGCCGGTGTGCGGCCATGAGCAGCTGACCTCCCGGATGGCAGCCAAGTGCCTCGATGCGCAGTTCAACTTGCGCCGTTGGGCGCAGATGACCGCCTGGACGGGGAGCCCGACCGTGGAGGGAGATGCCGTCGGGTGGACTCCGTCGAAGGCTGTTTTCGTGCCGGACGAGAGGGGGCCTGGCGATCTCACTGCGGCGGCGGGCCAGTGGGTTCCTCGAGGGTGAGCGGAGTCGCGCTCCGGCCCACCGCTGAGGGATCGGCCACGGCCAGCGGTGTGTGGAGTGCGGGAGTAGGGGAGCTAACGGAGGAGCGTGCGTGGCACGCGAGAGGGAGCGTGCGGGGCACGCGAGAGGGAGAGGGAGCGTGCAGGGCACGTGAGAGGAGACGACGCTGGTCCTAGGAGGAGACCAGCGGGGTGCGGAGAAGAACCTGAATAAAAGACAAGCGGAGACCAGCAGTGCCTGACGGAGTCTTTTATTACAGACTCATCACACAGAGACCCATAGACTCAACAGAGACCCATAGACTCATCACACTCAGACCCATAGACTCACCAGACAGAGATCCATAGACTCACCACACAGAGACCCATATACTCAACAGAGACCCACAGACTCATCACACACAGACCCATAGACTCACCAGACAGAGATCCATAGACTCACCACACAGAGAGCCATATACTCAACAGAGACCCATAGACTCACCACACACAGACCCATAGACTCACCACACAGAGACCCATAGACTCACCACACAGAGACCCATATACTCAACAGAGATCCACAGACTCATCACACAGAGACCCATAGACTCACCAGACAGAGATCCATAGACTCACCACACAGAGAGCCATAGACTCACCACACAGAGACCCATAGACTCACCACACACAGACCCATAGACTCACCAGACAGATATCCATAGACTCACCACACAGAGACCCATATACTCAACAGAGACCCATAGACTCATCACACACAGACCCATAGACTCACCACACAGAGACCCATGGACTCACCACACAGAGACCCATAGACGTACGTACGGCCTTCCTGGTTTTTTGTGCACCATCAGGAGAGAAGGTGGATGACGACGAGGAGGAGTGCAGCGTTGATGGTGTTGATGGTGTTGGTGGTGTTGGTTCTTCGTGTGCGTCCGGCGTGGGCGTCACGAGCATCGACAGCGGAAGATCTGTCCCCCCGGCTTCCGCCGCCATTGATCGTGAGTGGGGGGGGGTGACAGCGGCCGGTCCGGTGAACACTGAGTAGTGTAGTAGTAGTAGAGACTGAGTAGCTAAGTAGAGGAGTATTTGGAGTCTGTGGTTTCACTCCCCTGCCCCCTCCCCTCCCTCCCCTCCCTGCCTCCCCCCCTCCCTCCACCCCCCTGCTCCCTTCCCCTCCCTCTCCCTCCCCCTCCCTCCCCATCCTCCCCTCCCCCCTCCCCCATCCCCCCTCCTCCCCCTCCCCTCCCTCCCCTCCCTGCCTCCCCCCCTCCTCCCTCCCCCTCCCTTCCCCTGCCCCCTCCCCTCCCTGCCTCCCCCCCTCCCTCCACCCCCCTCCTCCCTCCCTCCCTCCCTCTGTTCCCTCCCCTCCATCCCCTCCCTGCCTCCCCCTCTCCCCCTCCCTCCCCCTGCCCCCTCCCCCTCCCTCCCCCTGCCCCTCCCCCAGGCTCCCTGCTGCCTGTGCTGCTGCCCCTGTCGCTGGCCGTCTGCCTGCTGAGCGTCCTGCTGGCCGCAGGGCGCCGCTGCTGCCCGCGGTGTCTCAGGCGCCGGCCACGGGAAGTCTCGTGGATAGCCAACAACTTGGGTGGAGGCGGCGGTGGTGGCGGTGGTGGCGGTGGTAGTAGTACGGAGGAGGAGGGCGGTCGCTCTCCCAAGCTTCCTCGCAAAGGCTCCGACGACGACGACGAGGTGGTGGTGCGCCTGGAGGCGCGGGAGACGCCAAAGTCGGGAGAAGGACGGCCGACACCGGGACGGGGAGGGGAGTTCTTCAAGCTGGGGAACTGGGAGGTTGAAGATGTGAATGCGAATAAAACTTTGCATGTGAAAATGCACGCGAACACGGTGAGATGAGAGGGGAAGAGGTCTGAGAGTGTGTGGAGGGGAGTGGAGTGAGATGAGAGGGGTAGGTGAAGTGCATTTGAAAAAAAAAATTGTTCAAGTGATTTCCTGTCACGCGACTGCCGCGTTCAAAGAGACGATTTGCGGATCACAAACGCGACAGGATGGACGATGAATGCCCGTCGGTGCAGTGGGGAAGCCAACCAGCATCAAGAGGCAGCCCAGTGTGTGGGCTGGCGTTCTCCATCCACGAATTACTTCAACGATAATTTTTTGTTTGATAATTGGTTGTTTACCCTTCTATCTGGCAACAAAACTGACACCTTTTTACGAGGAGTCATGTTTGCATAGACCGCAATACCAGCAGTCATAATACAAACATAAGAACATAACTCTGATAAAGTGCACTGTCCTTGAAGTTGGGTGTGGACCAATCAACTTCAAGGACAGTGCATACATTATCAGAGTTATGTCTTTTGTTTGTATTTATGACTGCAGGTATAGCAGTCTATGCAAACATGACTCCTTGTAAAAAGGTGTCAGTTTTGTTGCCAGATAGAAGGGTAAAAAAGCAATTATCATATTTTTACTGGCAAATGAGGTTCCCATAGTGTAGAATCTTTTGTTTATTAAAACATGACAGCCTTGATCCGTACGCGAACACAAACACAGATCAACGTGGTGGCTTCGCTCTCCAACACAACCCACGGTGTGCTGCGCAAGTAACGAATTGGCACGTTCTGTTCACGTGACAAACCTTACTACGTTGCCTGTCGGGTGATGGCGGGTTTGAAGATATTTCTATATCTACGCCATCTAACCAAAAAGAACACCGTGTTACAGAGGTCGCAAACGGGTTTTGATTCCTTACCCGTACCCGTACCCAGCCGCACCAGAGTCGCAAACGGGTACCCGTACCCGGCAGTTCCCGTACCCTACCCGTACCCGGCCGTGTACGGGTAGGGTACGGGTATCGGGTACCTGATTGCGACCTCTGGGATGAAGCCATGTTGCAGGCGCGGGTGGGTTGATTCTATGAACTTGAATTGTGAGAAGAGACAAGACGTTGGGAAATGAGTGACAAACAGTTACCAGTGACTCACGCCTACCCGTACCAGGCCGCACCAGAGTCGCAAACGGCTACCCGTACCCAGCCGGGTACGGGTAGCCGGGTATCAGGTAGGGTACGGGTATCGGGTACCCGGTTGCGACCTCTGCTGTGTTATAGATATTGGTTAAACTGGTATGGAAAACCTACCCTCCCACTCCCAGCCTGTCCACTTCCCCTCCCCACCCCGGTATCTTCTGCCGTGATTGTGTCTTGTAGCATCCACTCCCCCTACCCCCCACCCCCTCCCTGTCTCTCCTCCCTGGCTCCCCCACCCCCCATCTCTTACCTATATAGCCTCTTGTTGCAGCAGCCCTTTTGCCCACGTCAGCATATTGTTTGTTGCTGTGGTTGTCCCACCTGGTGACGGACGCTTGTGTTGCGCCCGAAACGTCGTGATTTTATTTATTTTATTTTATACCTACGTGACTTTACCGAAAGAACCAAAGAGTATGGTGTGGAAAAAGTCAGTGGTAAGGGAAGTCCACTCAGCTCCATATCCTCCTGTACCACATACATCTCTTTTCCAACCCGTGTCGTGTCCGTTTAGCCCCCTTTATCTGGCCAAACAGCTTTCTCGGCAAGCGGTGGTTGGGAATGTGGGCTATATGACCCAGCTAATGCAGCCTTGCTTGCCAGAGGAGCTCACTGATGGAGATTTCCAGATCTTTCAAGGATTTGTGAGCTCCTTAAATAATCCAGCCTGGTTAAAACCCAGGATGGATCATAGGCAGGCCAGCCTGAATGTTTCTAACCGGTGCAGATATTCCATTCGAGGGTTTCCACATTTCACAAGCACAGGGTTGGCCTACTCTTCGCACTGGGCAGGTGTTACGGTGCGGTGCGCGAAATAAGTTAGTATCATCCATGGAGCCCAAGTCACACACACACACATAAGCGCACACAAAAACAAATATTTTTTTGGGGGTCTTTCGGTAAAGCCACTGAATTCCTGCAGCCACTGAAGCTTTGAGTCAAGAAAGATGCTTTTGACAATAAGTTTTCCCCTTTTTTCTGGCAACAAAACTGCTGTGTTAAGATGTTCTTGGTTTTTTCGGTAAAGACTTTACCGAAAGAACCAAGAGTATGAATCCCTGCAGTCACGAAAGCTTTAAGACAAGAAAGATGCAGCGGTCTTCAGGTGGAGAACAGGTCTGTCGGAAAGACAGCGTCTGACGAAGAACAGGTCTGTCGAGGAGACATAGTCTGTCTCTCGACAGACCTGTTGTGGTCGAAACGTCGTGAGAATTATTTTATTATGTTTTATTTTTATTATTTATTATTTCCATTCTATGTGACTTTACCGAAATAACCAAGAATATGAATCCCTGCAGTCACCAAAGAAGCTTTAAATCGAAGAAAAAATGTGGTCTGCTTTTCATATAAACCCTCTTGGGTTTCCAACCTCACCTGCACCGCTTATTTTTTTTGTACCTTGTGTGTGTGTTTTTTTAAATTTGTACCGTTTGTCTTGTATGTGTGTGTGCATGCGTGCGCGAATAAAAATATTCTTACAAATCAAGCCCAACGTTCCGTTAGAGGTGGGGGGAGGGGGGAGGGGCCTGGGCGTGGCTTACGAGTGTGGGCGTGACGTCACTTCCGGCTGCCTCCTCCTCCTCCTAAAGTCGTCCACTCTCCATCCTCATCCATCCATCATCATCGACTCGTCCTACCGGCACCACGTCTCGAGTCCACCGCACCAGGTACTCATTTGAGGCGGAGTCGACTTAGGGGAGGCCCAGAACCGATTCAAATATTTTTTTCTTGGGGTTTCGCCGCTGCACCACCGCTCCCTACATCCCCGCAGTAACCTACAGGGCCTATCTACAGGTAGTCCCCGACTTACGATCATCACTGTGTCTCTGTGTTTGTGTCTGACCAACATCCACACAGACACATCTCACTGTGTCTCTGTGTTTGTGTCTGACCAACATCCACTACAGAGACATATCACTGTGTCTCTGTGTTTGTGTCTGACCAACATCCACTACAGAGACATCTCACTGTGTCTCTCTGTGTCTGACCAACATCCACTACAGAGACATCTCACTATGTCTCTCTGTTTGTGTCTGACCAACATCCACACAGACACATCTCACTGTGTCTCTGTGTTTGTGTCTGACCAACATCCACTACAGAGACATCTCACTGTGTCTCTCTGTGTCTGACCAACAACCACTACAGACACATCTCACTGTGTCTCTATGTTTGTATCTGACCAACAATCACACAGAGACAAAGAACCGAGGTATAATACACATCCTCCAAAGTGACCAACGTGTAGAGACACCCATGGTTGTTAAATGCAGTCTCCAACTCTTATCCACTCTATATCTGGTCTTGTTTTTGATCTGCAATGAAGAAGGGCCATATGCCAAACATCGCCTATTATATACTTTTCCTTTTAAGGCTACAGTGTTATTGACAAATGTGTTCAGTGTTTTTGTTCACGTGCACACGAAGGCATTATTAGGATTCTCAGGAATCTCTGCTGTTGCTCAAAGCTCACAGAGACAGACACGTAAGGCATCTTGAGCATTCTTAGGGCTCAGTGTTCACGCACCAGGCGCGGAATTCTGAGGTCTAGCTATCGGACACAATTTATAATGTGGAGATTTGCTGTTTCAGGTTGTTCGGGCCTCCACTGCGAGAGATTAACAACTCCGCTGAAAGACAGAAAGTGTTGAAATAGACTTCAAGTATACAACAACGGGGTATCAGCATCCGATGGATTGTGAACAATATTCTATTTAAATTTAGTTTGCGCCGTTTGATCGCTCAGGCATTTTTACCTTTGAAAATAATTATTATTGTCTCCGGCAAATATAGATTTGTAGTCTTTTGTTGCAATGTAATTAACCATGAATCGTGATTTACTTGTATTTTTACTGAATATACAGGGCGTTATTTTGAGTGGCCAATAACATTTTCGCTGTGATACAAAAATATTTGTTTCAAGTGCGCCTCCAGCGAGCCAATGGCAATGCAAACGAGCGAAACGTATTACGATTTTAAAACATCGGGGAACCTTTAAACTACCGTGTGGCCGATTTGATGGGAAAAAATTCGTGCAACCAAACAGTGACTTGCAATTGGCTGTGTGAACCTTTCAAATAACCCGGTGTGATTTCTTCCAAGTGCAGCTGCAGATTATTTATTCGGTGAACTGCTATATTGCCGTACATAGCAGCCGGCTGTTTGCGTACGTGCGTTCCTGTGAAAGTCTTATTGCGTTTAAAATGCCCTCTTAATTTTTGCTATTGTCTTCCCAGATGCCCGATTCAGCGTAAGGAGCTCATCGGATACAAACACTCCCGCCGCCCCACAGGACTTACGGGAGGCGCCACGTCCACGTGAACCGACGCGCACCATTCACCCGAGCGTGCGACGATAACGACGATCTGGACGTGAGCGTTATTGGGACCGTGTTGGCTGGCGCTGCTCGCGAGGAGACTTTTGTGCGCAAAACCACGGTGGCGCCCCACTCCCTTGTTTGTGCGTTAGCTTTTGCAGCCTTCCCGCAGCGACGATGGCCGGTGGTGTGACGGCATTCCCGGCGGTGTTTGTACTGCTGGCGCTCGTCCTCGTGTCGAGCGTGCCGTCCACCACGCTGGACTTTGGGCAAGTTCCTACGGCCACCTACGTGACCGACACCAGTTACGACGCCGGCGCCATCGGAACGCTCTTCTTGATGATGCACAAGTTTCTGGACCTCGTTCAGCCGAATTCATTTCCTCACGGTGAGTGCTTTGTGAGATCGTGTGACTATATTGGAGTGTTGGTATATATACATGCGGTTTATATTTCAGTTTTATTGATTTGGTGTAGCCCTGTGAGCCATTCGGCTCTTGAATCAGGTGCAACCGCAACAAACAGAAAACAAAAACACGAACAAGGAAACATCTTAAAGTGACTACGCGCAAACAGAAAAATCCAGGGGAAAAACTGCAAAGTCTTCCAGAAAAAAAGCACCGTACACCAACGCTGTGCAACAATCCCAGTGGGATGCAAGTCAAACAACAACAACCACAAGACAACTTAGATTAAGGCCATCATTCTAACTCCGTACTACAACAAACAAACATGGCCAAACCAAACAGCTTTTCGAAATCACCAAAATAAAGCCATGAAAGTCAAACAACAACAACAACCACAAGACAACTTAGATTAAGGCCATCAGTCTAACTCTGTACTACAACAACACAAACATGGCTAAACCAATACACTTTTCGAAATCACCAAAATAAAGCCATGAAAGTCAAACAACAACAACAACAACAACCACAAGACAACTTAGATTAAGGCCATCATTCTAACTCCATACTACAACAACACAAACATGGCCAAACCAAACAGCTTTTCGAAATCACCAAAATAAAGCCATAAGTAATCTAACAGTGATCATAGGAACTGTGACCGAAATTTCACAATAAACGACATAAACAACATGTACCACCAAACCTTGTAGCTATAGCTGGCTTGCATGAGTTTAGCCAAGATCCTATAAGGTCATCCTTTCCGTAGATTCAAAAGGGTAAATGTGCAGCCGCACAATGACCTGAGTTAGATTCCCCACCACGGCCAACATCGGTGGCCAATTATATCTGACCTGATTCTGTCCTTTTTACCATGTCACTAACCTGCGCAGACCGGCGTAGTGAAGTATGGTCAAACGCCTCCCACGGCTGTCACCGCACGTTGAGGCCATCGTCCCGCAGCAAATTGCTAAGGGTCTGTAAATGACCGCGTTGTTTGAAAATCACAATTCTCTATAAGCTAAATTTCGATGTAAAGCTTTCGTGACTGCAGGGATTCATCTTCTTGGTTCTTTCGGTAAAGTCACGTAGAAGGGAAGTAATAAAATGATAAAAATAAAACATAATACAATAATTCTCACGACGTTTCGGCCACAATGCAAGCAGCCGTCCTCAGGTGAAGAACAGGTCTGTCGACAAGATATAGTTTTTCACCTGAGGACGGCTGCTTGCGTTGTGGCCGAAACGTCGTGAGAATTATTTTATTATGTTTTATTTTTATCATTTTATTATTTCCCTTCTACGTGACTTTACCGAAAGAACCAAGAAGATGAATCCCTGCAGTCACGAAAGCTTTAAATCGAAATTTAAATGCGTTTAGATGATTTAGCTGCTATAAATGTACACGTGATAAGCCACTTGGTTGAGCTATTAATTGTGCCCAGGTCACTTCTGAAAAATAAACCAAAAGCTCAGTGGGCTTTACCTGGTAAGAAAAAGAAAGTGTTATTTGTATATATTTATATATTTGTATATATTTCAAGTGATTTGTTCACCTCTCGTATATTTGCACTCCTGCCGTGTTTGTTGTTGTCACGTTCTGGCCCCGTGCCCCTACCGGGCACCTGTGAAACAGAGCTTCATAGCTCGTCGGATTCCTCCACGAGAAACACATTCTGATTCTGAATTGTCTCACGTACCCCCGGGAGATGTCTCGTGTAACCACATGTGGTGACCTTGCCACACGCACAAAACCGCCGCTCCATAGCAAGTTTCGGCACAATTTATGTTCACAAATTTGTGCTCAGGTTTCCACGCTCAGAAATATTTCACACCGGCACTTTACGTGCGGAGTTTGGTCGCGTAGGATACGTGCGCGTGCATATCAAGGCAAAGATTACGCGATGCACACCTTTGAAAACGTTTACCGGGAACAATTCATTACTTTGTTTTTGTTCAAAGAGATTGTGAGGTTTACATTTCTTCGCGGCACTTCTCTCTCGCAGAGCTACTCGCCAAAGCTATGAAGCAAGGTTTTGGAGTCGTACACAAGGACTATCGCCAGGTTAGTTTGCACGCTTTGCAATTTTCACTTGCGCTCTTGCCTGCTCTGCAAAGACGAGCCTCTTGTTTGTGTCGTCGTGCATCACTTTCACAACCTCAGTGCTTGCTTGGGATACAACGCCTTGCTTGGGATACGACGTCTTGCTTGGGATACGACGCGCTTGCTAGAACTTGTATGGGTCGTGATGAGTCACCGCGTAGACCCCATTCACGACTCTTCCTCACCACCATCCCCGTAGGCTCCTCTCAGCAAGATAAAGTGATGTTAAATTTTATTTTTATTTCAATTTATTTGTATTTATTTATGCATTTATTTCAATTTATGTATGCATTTTAGTAATAAGTAGTGTCTAAATAATTTTATACAGCCCTATTAATGTATAATATGCCATATAAAATATCATTTCTTATTCTCTGGAACGGATTATTTCCTTCCCCGTTATTTCTTATGGGAAAAACTCGTTTGTTATACGGCATTTCCGGTATAAGTCCTACCTTCTGGAACGAATTAACGACATGTACCGAGGTTCCACTGTACAGAGGATCCCCGCTTGTCTGTGGTTCCTGGCACCTCTGAGTTGTTCTATCTCTGTGGTGAACGCCGTGCAAGCGCGTTGCACCTCGAAACGATTATACCATCATTAAGTGCCGTAACCTGCAAGCCTGGCGGTTCAACTCGGCGTGGGTGACTCGGTGATGTGGCTCACGTTGCCCTCAGATCATCCGCTATGAGCTCGGCTTTATCGTGTGCGTGGCTTTGGGCGTCGCCTTCCTGCTGCTGCTCCCGCTGGCGGGCTGCTGCATGTGCCGCCGCCGCCGCTGCTGCGGGAACCGCCGCGGAGAGATGCTTCGGAGGCCACGGAAGAACGACGACTGCAAACGCAGCTGCCACGGCGCCTCGCTCCTCCTCGTCACGCTCGCCATCGAGTGAGTCGTCTCGTTAAATTTCGATGTAAAGCTTCTTTCGTGACTGCAGGGATTCATCTTCTTGGTTCTTTCGGTAAAGTCACCACGTAGAAGGGAAATAATACTCGGTCAGCTGAGCCTTCTTATCCCGGAGTTTGTTGAAGGATCTCAAAGTTATGTGGAATCCCTCCCCGTAGAGGCGGTTAAATTTCGATTTGAAGCTTTCGTGACTGCAGGGATTCATCTTCTTGGTTCTTTCGGTAAAGTCACCACGTAGAAGGGAAATAATACTCGGTCAGCTGAGCCTTCTTATCCCGGAGTTTGTTGAAGGATCTCAAAGTGACGTGGAATACCTCCCCGTAGAGTTAAGCCAGCAGTGTTTGTGTGTTCTCTGCGGTAAGTAAAACGTGTTTCTGCTTCCCCTTTGCGTCTCCGTGCAGGGCGGGCATTGTGTGTGCCTACGTGGCCAACAACAATGTGACCAACAACATCCGGCAGTCGGAGAGCCTGCTGTCGAGCAACTTGAAGGACGTCCGGACCCTGCTCAACAATACGCCCCGTGTAAGCGGCAGCTGCCCCAGCCACACGTAGGCGCGATTTCCTCCGTTAAATGTCACCGAAAAGCACGCACCTTACGCACCTGTGGGTGTAGATTAAATGTGAGCAAGTGATTCGCAGTGGCGCACAAAACATAAACAACAAGAACAACTCGACGCAATTATCAATGCCACTGCATTAATATGAAAAGTATAATATAATAATGATAATTGTTTTTTTACCATTCTATCTGGCAACAAAACTGACACCTTTTTTACAAGGAGTCATGTTTACATAGACCACATTACCTGCAGTCATAATCTTATTGGGATGCAAGTCAAACAACAACAACCACAAGACAACTTAGATTAAGGCCATCAGTCTACCTCTGTACTACAACAAACAAACATGGCTAAACCAATACACTTTTCGAAATCACCAAAATAAAGCCATGAAAGTGGTGTGCACGCTGCAGTGGTTCTCGTTAGGGGGCTCTGTGCAAATTGCAGGTGGGCATTGCAGATAATTTGTAGAATTCCACTTGTTGTGAAATGTAAATGAAAGGAGGATTCCAACTCACAAATAGTCTGCGGCGTAACTCGTTTTGTGGCTGTGGCTTGGCATATCAGAGCGTGGTTTTGAACAGGGTACAAGGCAGAGGTCGCAAACGGGTTTTGATTCCTTACCCGTACCCGTACCCGGCCGCACCAGGGTCGCAAATGGGTACCCGTACCTGGCCGGGTACGGGTAGCCGGGTATCGGGTAGGGTACGGGTATCGGGTACCCGGTTGCGACCTCTGGTACAAGGCGGTCATGTGACTGACTTGAGTGTGTTTCTTTCTTTGCCTTTAGCAAATCGACTACATCGTTGAAAAATACAACATCACGAAGGACAGGGCGGTTTCCGATCTCGACCGTGAGTGTAAATATATAGACTTGTTGCTTGTTCATTTTGGGGTTATAGGTATCTGAAAATGTTTTACTTCTTTAATCATAGTAAGTAATTGTATCCGTATCTCTTGGCATTATCTGCAGTGTCGGGTAATAATGTCCTTTCTATTAAGGCAGCATTTCATAGTCATCACAACTTTTAGTGAGCAGCATGCCACGAGTGAATAGAAACAGGTGGGGTGGAGGAAGAGCAGCAGCCCGCACTCATTGTGGGCACGAGCTATCGCGCCGTTCGCCTTCTTGTTTTCCAATCAATGCCTCTCTACTCCAGCACAGAGGCCACGGGTATTTGTAGACACCATACCAGATGCACAATTCGTTTATTTTCCGAGAAACAAAATAAATTGTTCACCGTACACTCTCTTGCCAAGGCCTACAAGTTACATGTACGTGAGGTGATTTTTACACGTTTGTCCGCGTGACTGTTCCCGATATGTGCGCTATAAGAGCCTCGTACCGAAACCTCGCCTTTCATGTTAGTCTGATTTAAATGTAATTAATGGTTAAATATGAAAAAAAGTCGCAATGAGCAGAAACTAAATGTGCAACTCCATTCAGTATGAACATGATGCTCTCATTTTAATTTTAAAGATAATGTGACGAATTGGAGAAGCCGGGTCAGGTGACGTGGTTAATCTAACTTCCTGGATCTTATCCTGAAGACGTTTGGCACATTTTCACGTAAAACATCGGGTATCTAATTGTTATATTTAGTTGTGATAATTAATTGTCGGGAGCGCTTGTACATGCGACATTTTAATATGTTTGGCTATGTCAGGTGGTACGACAGAAATTTGGGCAGATTATTACGTGGTCTAACCCAAAAGTCAATTATGAATACAAAATAAACACTTTAACTTGGTTGCGTTGTAGCACTTGCTCCAGTGCATGTGGAACAGAGGTCGCAAACGGGTTTTGATTCCTTACCCGTACCCGGCCGCACCAGGGTCGCAAACGGGTACCCGTACCCGGCCGTACCCCTACGGGTATCGGGTACCTGATTGCGACCTCTGGGATGAAGCCATGTTGCAGGCGCGGGTGGGTTGATTCTAGGAACTTGAATTGTGAGAAGAGACAAGACGTTGGGAAATGAGTGACAAACGGTGACTCACCAGTGACTCACGGTCTACCCGTACCCGGCCGCACCAGGGTCGCAAACGGGTACTCGTACCCATACCCGGCCGGGTACGGGTAGCCGGGTATCGGGTAGGGTACGGGTATCGGGTACCCGGTTGCGACCTCTGATGTGGAATTGATAACCCCGTAACTTGTTGGCCTCACAAGGGCCTGATTCAATTAGGAGCTGCTTAGAGCACGATAGGGATAATGGTGGTGAGGCATTACAGGTGACACAACTCTGAAGGGTGTTGTAGCTGCTAGCAGCTCATGTAAATATGAAATAAAATAAGAGATGTTTGCGTGGCCAGGTGGCAGCCCTTGAGTGTGGCTGCTTTGTGCCCCTGGCGGTTCGTTTCTAATCTGTGCTCATCTGCTGGGCCCTGTGTGATGGAGTGCAAACATACAGAGGTGAACAGGAAAAGCGTCAATTTTAAGAACATTGGGTTGGTGTTTTGAAAGGTCTGTGGCAAGGGCTGCACGTATGGGTTTTTTAATTAACCCAATCCCCCCCCAAAAAAAATCCATCCTAAATGTGAACTTACATCTGATAACTAAAATATGTTGGTCTTTAAAATGCTTTATCCAGTGTTAATACTATTGTAGAGAAGTTCCCGCGAACGTACTTGGAGACGGAGGTAAGCTAAGGGCTTTCGCCAGGGTTTATTAAAGCTGTTGCAATATTACACACCAGGGTACACAACTCCCAGCGGCTAGGGGGCTCCTACTCTGAGTCCGGGTCCCTGCCGGCTAGCTCCGGTCTCTCTCGTGTCAGATCGTGGACTCTGCAGACTCCACCGACACACACAGACACACACACACACATACACACACCCAGACACACACACAGACACACACAGCAACACAGACACACACACATACACACACCCAGACACACCCAGACACACACACACACAGACACACACACAGACACACACAGCAACCCAGACACACACCCAGACACACACACAGACACACACAGCAACACAGACACACACCCAGACACACACACAGACACACACACACACACAGACACACACACAGACATACACAGCAACACAGACACACACACAGACACACACAGCAACACAGACACACACCCAGACACACAGCAACACAGACACACACCCAGACACACACACAGACACACACAGCAACACAGACACACACAGACACACACACAAACACACACCCAGACACACACAGACACACACAGCAACACAGACACACACAGACACGCACCTCTCCGGCTACCACCGGCTTCTCCCCAGACTCCCTATTCGATCCCTCTCTCTACCCCTGGTTCCCTCTTCACCCTGCTCACTCTACCCGTTCCCACGGTGACCCCGCTCACGTCACGGGGTCTCCCTTAAGTACCCTGGGAGACGTGACGTCATCGCACTGAACGGCACGCCTGACGTCACGTCCCCATTTTACTCCTCTACACTATGAACGTTGCAGTTCTGCATCACAGTGTGACTAATCGCTTCTTTGCCTCCGCTCGCCACGCAAGTTAAGTCAGCGTTCAGGGGCACGGCGTTCGCAGTTGCCTTACATCTCGATTCGATCCGTGCCGGTTCGGACAATTTTACAGACGTGGGACCGTTGCTGGGCCAGAGGATCCAGAGGCGGCTGGGCACGAAGGTTTATCCCGCGCTACGGGCTGCCCTGCAGATGGCCGACGGTCAGTGTCCACACGGCACCTTTGCCAACCGGCGACGAGCGCGGTTGGCCGCGTGCAGCGCGGACCGAGTTCGACGCAGTGCATACGTAGAGCGCGCACGCCACGGCTACGCGGGAGCAAAGGCAACGGAGTGGAACCGTTTTATAAAATTGAAACGTTCACATTTTAGGTTGCAATCAGGTCCAGTGGCGGTGGGGGGGGGGGGGGGGGAGATCTGTTGCGTTGGGGGGTGAGGTGCAAAATACGAGTGGTGGACAACAAAGGAGAGGGAATGCTGGTGGGGGTGGGGCATCAGGGACACTTTTGGTGGTGCAGGACCAGCCCTACAAGCCCAGCTGCACGTTCCCATGAAATGCGATGGAAACTGTTCAGGGAGAAATAGCTTGGGCAGAGTTTGGGGGGGTGGGGGCATGGGGGGGCTTAGCCCCCCCCCCCCCCCGAACTGGGCACCTTTATTAATTTATTTTCAGTCGTTTACAAGTGAGGTTCAAAATAAATAAATTATATGCACCCGCGATAGAATTCAAACTCCGCCTATGAGAAATTGTTATTCCACTGTCAAATTATTGTACATAATAGATGCGTGTCCTTCTCGACAAATTGTTTGCACTTGATGATGTTTGCGTTTTAGAAATTTGAATGTGCCAGTCATTGTTTTTCATTCCTTTCCTTCTCTGTGTTGCTTGAGCTACAGTGAGGGAAAAAAGTATTTGATCCCCTGCTGATTCTGTACGTTTGCCCACTGACAAAGAAATGATCAGTCTATAATTTTAATGGTAGGTTTATTTGAACAGTGAGAGACAGAATAACAACAAAATCCAGAAAAACGCGTCAAAAATGTTATAAATTGATTTGCATTTTAATGAGGGAAATAAGTATTTGACCCCACTGCAAAACATGACTTAGTACTTAGTGGCAAAACCCTTGTTGGCAATCACAGAGGTCAGACGTTTCTTGTAGTTGGCCACCAGGTTTGCACACATCTCAGGAGGGATTTTGTCCCACTCCTCTTTGCAGATCTTCTCCAAGTCATTGAGGTTTCGAGGCTGACGTTTGGCAACTCGAACCTTCAGCTCCCTCCACGGATTTTCTATGGGATTAAGGTCTGGAGACTGGCTAGGCCACTCCAGGACCTTAATGTGCTTCTTCTTGAGCCACTCCTTTGTTGCCTTGGCCGTGTGTTTTGGGTCCATCGTCCCTTTGATGCGGTGAAGTTGTCCTGTCCCCTTAGCAGAAAAACACCCCCAAAGCATAATGTTTCCACCTCCATGTTTGACGGTGGGGATGGTGTTCTTGGGGTCATAGGCAGCATTCCTCCTCCTCCAAACACGGCGAGTTGAGTTGATGCCAAAGAGCTCCATTTTGGTCTCATCTGACCACAACACTTTCACCCAGTTGTCCTCTGAATCATTCAGATGTTCATTGGCAAACTTCATACGGGCATGTATATGTGCTTTCTTGAGCAGGGGGACCTTGCGGGCGCTGCAGGATTTGAGTCATTCACGGCGTAGTGTGTTACCAACTGTTTTCTTGGTGATCGCATAGTGTGTTACCAACTGTTTTCTTGGTGATCGCATAGTGTGTTACCAACTGTTTTCTTGGCGATCGCATAGTGTGTTACCAACTGTTTTCTTGGCGATCGCATAGTGTGTTACCAACTGTTTTCTTGGCGATCGCATAGTGTGTTACCAACTGTTTTCTTGGTGATCGCATAGTGTGTTACCAACTGTTTTCTTGGTGATCGCATAGTGTGTTACCAACTGTTTTCTTGGCGATCGCATAGTGTGTTACCAACTGTTTTCTTGGTGATCGCATAGTGTGTTACCAACTGTTTCTTGGCGATCGCATAGTGTGTTACCAACTGTTTTCTTGGCGATCGCATAGTGTGTTACCAACTGTTTTCTTGGCGATCGCATAGTGTGTTACCAACTGTTTTCTTGGTGATCGCATAGTGTGTTACCAACTGTTTTCTTGGTGATCGCATAGTGGTTACCAACTGTTTTCTTGGTGATCGCATAGTGTGTTACCAACTGTTTTCTTGGTGATCGCATAGTGTGTTACCAACTGTTTTCTTGGTGATCGCATAGTGTGTTACCAACTGTTTTCTTGGCGATCGCATAGTGTGTACCAACTGTTTTCTTGGCGATCGCATAGTGTGTTACCAACTGTTTTCTTGGCGATTGCATAGTGTGTTACCAACTGTTTTCTTGGCGATCGCATAGTTTGTTACCAACTGTTTCTTGGCGATCGCATAGTGTGTTACCAACTGTTTTCTTGGCGATCGCATAGTGTGTTACCAACTGTTTTCTTGGCGATCGCATAGTGTGTTACCAACTGTTTCTTGGCGATCGCATAGTGTGTTACCAACTGTTTTCTTGGCGATCGCATAGTGTGTTACCAACTGTTTTCTTGGCGATCGCATAGTGTGTTACCAACTGTTTTCTTGGCGATCGCATAGTGTGTTACCAACTGTTTTTCTTGGCGATCGCATAGTGTGTTACCAACTGTTTTCTTGGCGATCGCATAGTGTGTTACCAAGTGTTTTCTTGGCGATCGCATAGTGTGTTACCAACTGTTTCTTGGTGATCGCATAGTGTGTTACCAACTGTTTTCTTGGTGATCGCATAGTGTGTTACCAACTGTTTTCTTGGCGATCGCATAGTGTGTTACCAACTGTTTTCCTTGGCGATCGCATAGTTGTGTTACCAACTGTTTTCTTGGCGATCGCATAGTGTGTTACCAACTGTTTTCTTGGTGATCGCATAGTGTGTTACCAACTGTTTTCTTGGTGATCGCATAGTGTGTTACCAACTGTTTTCTTGGTGATCGCATAGTGTGTTACCAACTGTTTTCTTGGTGATCGCATAGTGTGTTCCAACTGTTTTCTTGGTGATCGCATAGTGTGTTACCACAGTTTCTTGGCGATCGCATAGTGTGTTATACCACACTGTTTTTTGTAGCGATCGCATAGTGGTGTTACCAACTGTTTTCTTGGCGATCGCATAGTGGTGTTACCACTGTTGTCTTGGCGATCGCTAGTGTGTTACCAAGTGTTTTCTTGGCGATCGCATAGTGTGTTACCAACTGTTTTCTTGGCGATCGCATAGTGTGTTGCCAACTGTTTTCTTGGTGATCGCATAGTGTGTTACCAACTGTTTTCTTGGCGATCGCATAGTGTGTTACCAACTGTTTTCTTGGCGATCGCATAGTGTGTTACCAACTGTTTTCTTGGCGATCGCATAGTGTGTTACCAACTGTTTTCTTGGTGATCGCATAGTGTGTTACCAACAGTTTTCTTGGTGATCGCATAGTGTGTTGCCAATTGTTTTCTTGGTGATCGCTTGCTTGCTGACGCGCCCCCCCCCCCCCCCCGTCCCGGCAGTGATGTTGGCGACGCGCCTGGCGCTGCTGGACATCAACACGTCGCTCTCGGTGCTGCGCGACAGCTCCGAGAGGCTGCAGAGGAACTTGACGACCGTGCGCAGCGGCCTTAACGCGACCCTCAATGACCCCGTGTGCCAGAGGGCACAGCGGTGCGTCGCCATGTCGGGGCAGCTCGTCCTGCTGAATATCCACGCCGACTTCAGCTTGGTACGTGTGAGTGTGTGTGTAGTAGGTTCAAAGAGACTTGGACGACGTAGTCGGAGGCACACTTATTTATTAACCGTTTCACTCAGCACAGACCAAGGTATACAACACTCGAGGGGTATCGGCCCCTTCACCCGTCTAACAGGGAGCTCCCACTATCTCTATCTCCACTCGAGAGCTAGGGGAGGCTAGCTGACCTAGCTCTGGTTAAGCTGGGATCACGGCACCCTGAGTCCCCAGACCAGCTCTTACAAGAGCATCGGCTCTGGGCTCTCGGGGCCACGCCACTGGCTTGCCCTGGTCGGTCCTTAGAAGGACAGCGATCCAGGGGAGTCCCAGGGCCTATCTAGCCGGTCTTCCTTCTTCACTGATTTAAGCTAAACACTGAACCCCGAGCCCACCGGCTCACCGCCTTATATAGCAACTCCTCCCCGAGGGGTGGGGCCGTGGGGGATCACAGCGCCGTTTCAGCCCCCCAGGGCTAAACGATGCGGACGTGGATGTAAGCATCCTTCCGCGTGCGGGCATAACCACACCCCTGGTGTGTTTGTTCGCCCTCCCGTAACACCTTTACATGTGTACGTGGAACTTATGTTGCATCGTATGTAGCCAACCGCCGTAATCAACGGTGCAGGGGAAGAACGGCAAACTGGTGAGCGCCAGCGTGGCTACTCACGCTGCCTCTAATCCACAGCAATCGCTGAGGCGGTCGAGGGTTGGTGGATGACAAGCACGTTCGGGAAACTCTCAAATCTGCCGGGCTGCGAGGTCGCCTTCTCCTTGTTTTGCCAGCAAGTTGCTTCATTTGCATCTGTATTCCATCTGTACGGGGATTGAGTGTTACCCCCCTCCATCCGTGCATTTGAATTGTCTCCGAGGGCTCTGGTTTCCTGTATAAGTACTCAATGGAGATGGTCAAACATCCTCATATAGAGCCATAGAGGCTTGAGCAATTTTTGGTGCTGGTTCTGGCTGCCTTCCTGCTTGTCTGTGATTTCCCATGCCTCTGAATCAAACGCCAACCTCCTGGGTTTAAAGTGTTAGATATACGCACGAGATGTAACCAATTCCCTCTCCTCATGAGGGGAGGAACTTCTGTGCAAAGAGGCTGGATGTTGTCTTTCCATGGCAGCCTTAACTGTAGATTACATGAATTTGTGTTCTTCCAGATACAAAAAGACCAAGCTTAACCGCTGTAAATGTCTAATTAATGCCTGAGCTTCGAAACAATGTTTGTACAATGAGCACTGAAGAACAGGTTTACTGAACATTGAAAGGGGACCGGGTTTGGTTTAGTTTGACAGTGCGCAGAGCTGATGGTGGTGTTTACCTTCCTGTGCAGCCGCAGGACGTGTCCCGGGAATTGGAGCAGGTGAAGAGACTGCTAGACACCAACTTTACAGCGATGGTTGACAAGGTATGTACTGTTTGTTTTTTTTAAATCTTGTAATGCACAAATTTTCATACATTAAACATTATACATTTCTACGTGACTTTACCGAAAGAACCAAGGAGATGAATCCCTGCAGTCACGAAAGCTTTAAATCGAAATTTAACCGCCACTACGGGGTGGGATTCCACAAAACTTTAAGATCCTTCAACAAGCTCCGGGATAAGAAGGCTCAGCTAATCGAGTCTCTCAACTTTATGAAGAGATGCCGCGACTCTAAGGTAATACCAATCGCATTTACACTAACCTCTGCTGCTGTAACTTCTTC